AGCCATTTCCTCAACGCTTGACGCTCCACAGTGTCACTCGTGTCGCAGGGCTCGTTGCTTGGACAACCGCGTCTGCAGTGAGCATCTCTGCGCTGCTGCTTCGGGGCGTGGAATCTGAGGAGTGACAATGACTATTCGTGGTGTGTTTGCTGTAGCTTCAATGGAGAACGGGAGGCACACACACTGTGGTGTCGCGGTCAGTTTTCGTCCGTGTCGATGGAATTTGCAGGCGTGTGTGTGTGTGGCAACGGGTTTGGTTGGACAAGGCGGTCGTGAAGGCAACCGTTATGGCAGGCCAGAGTGTTGACACGGTCTTGTGTGAGAGTGGCGGATGAATGAAAGTGAAGGTGGCACATGCTTGACATTTGTGCGTGTATGCAGGACAGTAAAGAGTGTGAGTGGGTGTGTGGCTGGATGGTGCGGTGTGCGGCCGCGTGTTGTGAAGTGCGCCTCTCTTCTCACTGGTGTGGGCCGAGGCACGTGCCGCGACTTGTTCTGTCAGTGCTGTGTCTGTGTGAGGGGGGGGCTCTTGTATGAATGCCTGAAACTCAATACGGTCAACTCACTTCCGTGTTTCTTCTCCCCCCTTTTCAAATAAAGAGAGCCAATAAGAAAAGCACAAGCGCAGTGGCATCAGTAACACACACACAAATGAAAAGAGGGTACAGGTCACTGTTGGCACCACTGAGGGCGGTCGCGTTATTGGGCAATGAGGTGCGGCCTACATGCGTATCAAGCACAGAGATGCGCAGACAGAAAGAAAAACAATACCATAATTGGGGGACGGTACATCTGCCCGTACATTTCACATTGGGTGGTGTGTTCAAGCCCACCCTTGTTGCGATGGCCCCGCGTATTGTGACTGGCGGCATTACAGGCGATAAAGCTCTGAGCGACGCGGCTGCTACCAAATCGGTGAAATGGACCCTCGACAGCACAGTGGAGGAAGTTCTGCTACAAGGAAATCTTCCCCAAGTGAATATGAAGCTGAAAGACTTTCTTACCGAATACCTTGATGGCATGGGTGCGGATAAAGTGAAGTGGAATGTCAGTATAGAAGCGTTTGCCAACAGACCAAACAGATATATAAAAGACGAGGAGCTGGTTACCGACATACTTGCGATGNGAGCGACGCGGCTGCTACCAAATCGGTGAAATGGACCCTCGACAGCACAGTGGAGGAAGTTCTGCTACAAGGAAATCTTCCCCAAGTGAATATGAAGCTGAATGACTTTCTTCGTGGGCATCTTGGTGGTAGAGGTGTAGAGGAAGTGAATGAGGATGTCAGTATGGAAGCGTTTGCCGTCAGACCCAACAGATATATAAAAGACGAGAGGCTGGTTACCGACATACTTGCGATGTTGACATTCAAGGCAATAGTAGAGGAAATGCAACTGCAAAACAAAGGTGTGTATTCTCTCCAGCAGTGGGACGTGTATGATAAAAAGGAACAAGTTATCCCTTTCGTGAGAGGACTGTTAAATGCAGCCCTCAGCATTGCGAAGAATAAATCACCGTTATTGAATGGTGAAGTGATGATGGGGGTCTACGAGTCTGTGTTGAATGCTACATGGAGCCATGTGGTGAAAGTCCCTGGTGACAGTGAAGGAGTCGGAATGGAGGTGAGGAAAGGCAAGCCGTCGAGGGAGTGGACAGACGAAGAGGTGGGCCATCTTCTTCCTGGTGGTGCAAGCAAGGGGAAGAACAAAGAGAGCACCAGCGCAGAGGGGGTGGCGGATCCGCAGGAGCTATGTGTTGAGTTAATGGTACTCCATTCTGAAAAAGGGTGGCCGTACACGTGGTTAATGGCAGAAGCCAGGTGCCACTGCCACATCGGCCGCGAGACGGAACGTATTTGGCGCATCGTTAAGCGTGATGTAGACGAATGGTTTGCGTGTCGTGGTGGAGATGTTGCGGGGCCGGAAAAGCGTCTTTTGATTGGGACACCTGGTATAGGGAAGTCAATGGGAGCTGGCTCGTATCTCCTCTACCAACTGTTGCACTATGACAAGGAACGACTTCCTTTTGTTGCATACTTCATTGCAGATTACGTGTATATCTTTGACAAGACTAGAGGTGAGGGACAAGGACGCGTGGAGTACTACGATAACCTCGAAGAGGGAAGGCGTGCTGTGTTACGTCTCTCTCATACTGTGAGGGGATACATAATCTATGATGTGGCAAAACAAGGAAGTGAACCGTCAGTGGATCTACCTCCAAAAGGATGGGGTATGGTTGTTGTGACTTCCCCGAACGAGGTGAACTTCAAAGGATGGGAGAAGCAGCGGGAAGCCCTGCGTGTCATAATAGATTGCCCTAGCATGAGTGAACTGAAGGCGATGAGTCTGTGGATACACCGCGATAAGCCAGAGGAGGAGCAGGAGAAAGAGTGGAAGGTTGTGGAAAAGCGTATAAGCAATGTGGGACCGATTCCCCGTCACATTTTTTGTAGTGAAATTAAATATAATGGTCGTCTGAAGGCGGTTGAAGCGGCGTTGACCCGTATCACACCATCCAATGCCGACCTATACTTTGGAGTGCACAAAG